TTTTTTATTCTAAATCAAATTAGTTCACCAATCTAATCATAACAATGCTCAACATTTCCCATTTTTGGCAATTTCTATCACTCTCAATTTTTGGTAAATCTGCCCTGTGTTCCCAACATCATTGCACCCATGGCCCTCAGCAACCATTCCAGAAAACAAAGATGATCTAATTATACTACCTGTTCTTAATTGCATCTAGTAAGTTTAAAATTCTTTCTCTACTAAGAATCATTAATAAAGTGTCCATGCTTCTTATGAAAGGCTTGATATCATAAAATGCTCCTGTTTGTTTGAAAGCAAGAACAGTTTTCCACTCTTGTCTTCATCATATAACTGTTAAAGGGGAAAAAAGAAAGGAAGATCCATATTTCTTGTTTTTGTTTTCTTTTTCCCCAAACCCTGAATTTCTTCTCAATCTATAATGAACGCAACACAAAATCCACATTTCTTAGTGGAACTATTTTTCTTATTTGAGGTTTTTTTTTCAGATCCTGAATTTCTTCTAAATCTACAATGAAACAACCAGTGGATTGACAACATTGGTTCTGAGATAGACCCACTTGGTAATGAGAAAGTCCAATTCCAACTGGGGAAATTTACCTGAGTCCCAACCTTTTCAGTTTAACATTACACCTATCACCTAGAAAAATAAATCCAAGTACCCATCTGGGTTGAGAAAAGAGTTACTTGTGACTTTATAAAAAGGGGAACTATGTAATGTAAAATTCCAAAAAAGTCAAATGGTGCTACATAAGACATTTTTCTTTTTCTTAGGAAAAAGGAGTTATATGGAAACTTCTCATTATCTTTTTCTTCTCTTCTATGTCCAAAGTTGAAAGCAGGTCATACTATAGGGTCCATCTCACCTTCTTATCTAAAAATATACTCGTGCTATTTTTCTTCCAGTTTTGGCCACACGGAAAACTAACTCTACTGTGCTATATGACTCCACAAAACAGGATGAATAAAACTGTAATACAGCAGCCTCTCATCTTAGGAAGGTGAACAGGGTTCCATCATGGACTCAAACTGGGTTGTTCGCTTTTACCATTCTTTTAACTAAATGTAAGCATGCACTCACTTAGCTGCTACACAATCTGGTCCTTCTGTAGAAGAATGAAAAAATTTAAAAAGAGCAAATGTTCCAAGACTTGAAAAAGTAAATAATAGGTTCTGTCTCCAGGAGAAAAACCCCTCCTTTCATCCAAAAATGTGGATTTACACATGTAAAGATATGTATTTGTACAGATTCTCTTTAGGTATCAGATATGAAATCAATCTTGATATCTTGTCTTTATGCTTCTTTATCACACCAAAGGGTTAACTGCAAAACTGGACCTTCATTTCTATCCAGTAAATCTGTCACAAGATGAACCAGGATATAGAGATATATGTAACTTTTTAACATCTTTTTCTTTTCAAATTACAACAAATATTTGGAATTTACTGCTGCAGTCTCAAATGTGCTTATCATAATAGTGGCCGAAACTGGAAGACATTTTTAAAAAAACCTGAAGTCATCCATACTTGCCATTTATTAGTCTTCTTGTTTGGAGCAAAAGGCTAAGAATTCACAAATACCACGACCTAAGCACCTGTTTCAAATTAAACGTCAGCCTTCAGCTTGCAAAATAATTTTTTGATAATTAAGCAAATTGCAGAAGACCCATCAATTGCTTTTTTTCTTCAGGGAGAAGTCAGCAGGATAACTGCACCCTACGGGCTTCTTTCTGTGTTGAATTTGAAAGGTGAAACAAAAGAAAAGCAATCTTTTCCAATCCAAACCATGGAGGTAATGTGTAGAAAGGTATCCATATTTCAGTAGGGAAAGTGGCTGGATAAAAGAAGCAGGACTACTCGCTCTAGAAGACAACATAGAAATACCGGCCACATCCTGAGTTCAGAATTTTGTTTTGAAATGAATAAAAAGCACCTAAATGTAAGGAAAGTGTTCATCCTGTGTGACAAGAATTTTCACATGGTCCATCAGACGCAGTCGGCTTCCCGGGGGCCTGCACGCCCCCAGCCCAGAAGCCAAATGGCCAAATGGCCTAGGCGCTCCTCACTCTGCCATCTTCGCTTCTTCTCTATTGTTCTTTCTTAATACAGTCATCCATATGGGCAAGAAGTGATAATCTGTTATAGAGTTTTGTTGTTGTTGTTTTTGTACCAGGGATTGAACCCAGGGGCGCTTAACCACTGAGCTACATCCCCAGCCCTTTTTAAATTTTTGAGACAGTGTCTCACTAAGTTGCTGAGGCTAGCCTTGAATTTGTGATCCTCCTGCCTCAGCCTCTTGAGTCACCGTCATTATAGGTGTGTACCACCATGTCCAGCTTCCCCATGTCCAGCTTCATTATAGTTTTGATTTTCATTTCCTGATGGCTAATGATGAGAATTTTTTTGTGTGCTTATTGGTCATTTGTACATTCTTTGGAAAACTATCTTTTCAGATCGTTCATCCATTTTTAAACTGGGCTAGCTGTTTTTTTTTATTATTGACTTGTAAGTATTCTTTATGATTTTTGGATACAAGTTCCTTATCTCATGATTTGAAAAATTTTCTTCCATTCTGTAATTTTCACCTTCTTGAAGGAATCATTAAGGCACAAATGGTTTAAAAAAAAGAATTTGATGAATACAGTTTATTTATACCTTTGTTACTGATAGTTTTGGAATCGTTTCTAAGAATCTATTGCTTAAGGTCAGAAAGATTTACACCTATCTATTTTAATAAGAGTTATATATGGTTTTGACTTTGATCCATTTTGAGTTAGTTTTTATATATTGAGGTAGGGGTTTAAATCCATTCTTTAGTAAGTGGTTATACAGTTTTCTAGTACCTTCTATTGAAAAGACCATTATTTTTCCCATGAATCGCCTTGACACATTTAAAGAAATAAATAAGCACTTATTGCTGAACTCCCAATTCTATTCCACGGGTCTCTGTCCATCCTCATACCAGCACTACCCTGTCTTGATTACTGGGGTCTTCATTGTAAATTTAGAGATCAGAAACTGAATTCTCCAACTTTGTTCTTCTTTTTCAAGATTGATTTTCTATTTTGCCCTGTTTTTGAAAGATATTTTTTCCAAGATATAAAATTCTAGATTTATCTTTTTAATTTTTTGCAGTGTCATGGATCAAACCCAGAGCCTCATGGCTTTACCACTGAGCTACATCCCCAGCCTTTTAATTAGAAAAAAAATCATTATAGTTGCTCTGCTCCTTTCTGGGTTAGACTGTTCCTTAAAAGAAGCCTGCTGTCATCCTTTGTCATCCTTGTCTTAGCTTCTCTATATGTAATGTGTCTTTATCTGGCTGCCTATAAAATCAATCATTAGTCTTGAGAGATTATGATGTGCCTAGATCCCCCTCCCCGCCTCCCCCCTCCTTCTTCTACTACTACTACTAGGATTGAACTCAGGGGCACTCAACCACTGAGCCACATCCCCAGCCCTATTTTGTATTTTATTTAGAGACAGGGTCTCACTGAGTTGCTAAGTGCCTTGGTTTTGCTGAGGCTGGTTTTGAACTCGCAATCCACCTGCCTCAGCCTCCCAAGCTGAGGGAATTACAGGCATGTGCCACTGCAGCCAGCGCTTTATGGTTCTTAAGTGTAGTATTTATTGAACAATTTATATCTGTACTTTGTCAGTTTTTATAAAATCTGAAAAAATGGGCTATTTCTTTAAATATTTTTTTTCTATCTCCCCTCTTATCTCCTCCTAGAACTCGAGTTAACACAATATTATGCTGCCTGAATTTGTCACATAATTCACTATAGATTTTTTTCACTTAACTTTTTTTGTTTCTTTTTTAATAGTTTATAATGTTGTATTTTCAAATTCATCAATCTTTTTTACAGTTTTGTCATCTGACATTATTATTATCCAACATTTTTTATTTTACACACTTGTTTTCAATTTCATTTCTTTGGAAATTCACTTTGGGTTGCAAAAAAAAAAAAATCTTCCATGTCTTACCTTGTGACTACATGGGCTATATTTACAATAAACACTTAATATGCTTGCTTGCTATTTCTAATATCTATGGGAATTTCAATGTATTAGGTGTTTATCATTTTTAAATGCATTTCCAGCTTCTTTGCAGGTTGGTAATTTTTTATTGAATGTGAAACACTATGAAATTACCTGTTGAATACTGTATACTTTTTATATTATTATAATGCAATTATTAGAAACAATTTGATTCTGTCAGTTCATGTTTTTAAGGTTTGTTAGGCAGGACTGGAGCAGCTCTTAACCTAGGGCAAATCATTCCCTGCTCCCGGGGAAAGACATTTTGTGTAGCCGTCCTAAGACCCATGAATGTGAGGCCCTGTGTGAATATGGGGCACCACTCATCTTTTCAAGGACTCTCAGCTCCATCTTCTTAACTCAGGGAATTCACCAAGCTCAGCATGGGTTCCCTGATACTGCACTGCAACCTGGAAGCTTTCAAGACAGGAATCAAAGGCAATCACTGGCTCATCTTGTCTGATTCCCATCCCTCACAGTACTTTGTTGCCTAATGTCAATGTCTTGAAAACCATTGTTCATGTATTTTTGTTTATTTCAAGTGATAGGAAGCAAATTCAGTGCCTGCTATTCCAGATAGTTTTAAACTGATAATTTGTCTGTAAGTTTCTCAGTGATTTGTTTACCCACACAGGTAAAACTCCTTCTCCTCACAGGCCAGTCCACTTCAGAATACTTCTGGAAACTAGTTCCTCATATCCATGTAGCACATTATAGCTAACATTGTAATTTCATGTATCACTTATATTGTTTTTTTTAGGTGTGTGAGGGGGAAATATGACCTGTGTCATACTGCTAATAGGAAATTTATCTTCACATGAAAAGTGGTGCCTAGCACAAAATCCATTGAAAATTCTTAAGGTCAACCTTTTTTTTTTTTTTTTTTTTTTTAATGGATTCAAATCTTTACATGTAATAATAGAAGTCTCATCCAGGACTTTAAGCATGAATTTACTCACTGTGGTGTGCTCTGGTACTGCTCGTCTCTACCAGGTTGATATCACACTGGGCTGAACTGGTTCTTTGAAGGTGGCCCTTCCTTACAGCAGAGAGGAGAGAAACACAAATGAAAAATGGGTAACTGAAAAGCATGTCAGAAGAACTAGAAAGGAAGTTTAAACTTGAATATTTGGAGGTTTATTTTAACTCCACAACTACCTGAAACCATCAGGACTGCCCTAAAATAGTGCTGCCATATTTAACAAATGTACCAGCGTGGAAGGTCATCTGAAAGGCAGTCAGGGGTGGTGATGCCATTTAGCCTTCTTCCCTTATGGCAGCATAGCTACTACATTTTAAGGTAACAGGAATATTTTTGTGCCTTTTCAAGAGGTTAGTTTCCACTATTAGTTGGACCCTCATCTGACATAGGGTAGCTTTAGTGAACTATTCTATTAATGGCATTTAAAAAGTTCATTTTGGACCTTCTTGGTTTTTTAACATTTTTTTTTTTAGTTGTCAATGGGTCTTTATTTTATTTATTTATATGCGGTGCTGAGAATTGGACCCAGTGCCTCACACATGCAAGGCAAGTGCTCTGCCACTGAGCCCCAGCTCTAGCCCCCATTTTGGACCTTCTTTAAGGTTTTAGCTTATCAGTTTTTTGTTTGTTCGTTTGTTTTTTTGTCATCTGACCAACGAATATAGGTTAGAATTTATGTGATCATGACAGATTTTTATAAAAAACTACTTGAAATATTAAATAAAAATTTGGAATGTAAAGTTGCTTTAATTTTTTCAATATGTCAATACTCAGAGTATTTACTTACATTAATGAAAATAAATTCAAAACCATCTTACCTCAGCAAAATGGCATATATTTTCTCAATGAAGAATGGCTCCTACTTCTGAAAGCTACTGATTCTAGCCCAGAGGTTAGCATTGGTGAGGTATCATTTGGACCTCATTCAAAGATGACCCTAAGTAGTTACTAAACCACTAAGGGACCCAAAAACTGTTATAGTAAACAATGACTTGGTTTCATTCTTTTTTAAAATATTTTTTTAGATGTTGATGAACTTTTATTTTATTCATTTATATGTGCTGCTGAGAATTGAACCCAGTGCATCACACATGCTAGGCAAGCGCTGTTTCACTGAGCCATAACCCCAGCCCTTGGTTTCATTCTTAAAACCACATTTCCAAAAGACAAATACATTTCACATGGTCGGTATACAACAGATCCAAATCTAATCTCTAGATTTCATGAGCAATAGCTACTCATGTTATTTTTCAAATTAATTCTGCTCTTGGCACATCTTTACTCACATAATTACATAAAAATTACTTCTGCTTATGTTGTCATTTGAAAATGGAAAGTACATGATTTCAAGAACATTACAACCCTGAAAATTTGTAAGAATGCTATTTTTTCTCATTGATTAAAGTTATGCCCATTTTCCAAATGTTCTAAAATGAATGTGTTTAACTTTTATGAGCAAATTGTTGCTTTGTTGTGAAATAAAGCATTCAAACAAAAAGGGTGAATAAAATGCATAAAGTTAGACAATGAACAATAAATATACATATACCCAGCATGAGATGAGAAATACACTATGAACATATCTCAAAAGCCCTATGTGTACTTTCTCTAACTGAATCCTTCCTGTCCACACCAGTAGTAACCACCTGCCTGTATTTTGTGGTAACCAGTATCTCTCCTTTCTTTATACCTACCGTGTGTGTGTATGTGTGTGTGTGTATACATGTATCATATACACATGTGTGTGTATATGAATATGTGTGTGTGCGTGTGTGTGTATATATATATATATATATATATATATATATATATATATTATTTGGGTTTGCTTCATTTTAAACTTTATATGAATGGAATTTTGTTGTCATGTTTTCTTTTGTAACTTGCTTCTTCACCCAAAATTATGTTTGTAAGATTTATCCAGGTTGATATATGTAACTATAGTTCATTTCTTCTCTTACATATTGTTCTTTTGAATGATGTAACTTTTTGTCCATTTCATGTTCATGAGAACTTGGGTACTTTTCAATATTTTTATTATTATAACCAGTTCTATAAACTCCTGGTAAACATCTGTAAGAATTTATCAGGTATCTGTAGCCAGAAGAAGAATGGGCACACACTTGTTTAGCTTTACAAGGTATTTGCAAACTGATCCAAAAGTGTTAAAACTTTTCAAATTTTAAAATAAAACCATTTTATATTGTCTGGCTGTGACTTAAAAAACTTATTTTGACAGGCTCACAGGTGAAATAATGGTTTTTCATTGTGGGTATGACTTGCATTTCTATAAAAAGGTTGCAAGGCTTGCATGTTTATTTTCTGGATCTTTCATCTTTTATAAATTCAATTATTTTTTCCCATTTGTCTACATGTTTACCTTTTTCTTGGTGATCTGATATATTCAAGAAATAAATATCCATGACTATATTTCTTGTGTTGCATATATCTTCTAGTTTGTAGCTTGGTTGGTCTTTTTTTAGTGGTATCTTGGAAACTAGGAGTTTTCAATTTTAATAAAATCAAATTTATTAGCCATTTCTTTTGTCATCTTTTGCTTTATGATTCTTATTTCCAAAATCTGTCCCTATCCTCTAAAGATACAAAGATATTCTTTAAATGTTCTTCTAATAGTTTTCATTTAGCTTTTCAAATATAAGCCTTTAATCTCTCTGAGCTGATTTTGACGTATGCTGTAAGGCAAAACCTCAATTTTACTTTCTTCTGTATGGATAAGCGATCATGCCAACAACTTTCATTGAAAGCCCATTATTTCTCCACTGCTCTGCAATACCATCTCTTCTGTATGTCAAATATCTACATATGCTGCATAAATGGAAATGGAAAAGCTCTAGGCTTTTTATAGTCATACTTTTTTTCTTCTTCTTAGTTTGGTATAAGTTTTTATTGAGAAGGCTAAAAGATTTTTCTCCTTCAATCTATAAGTAAAATGAAATATTTATTTTTTCAGTATTGGGGATTGAATCCAGCCAGGGCCTTCTGCATTCTAGGCAAGTACTCTATTACCGAACTGCATCCCCAACTCTATTAAACAAAACAAAACAACAACAATAACAACAACAACAACAACAGGGTTTTACTAAGTTGCTCAGGCTGGTCTTGATCTTGCAATCTTGTTTCAGCCTCCTGAGTTGTTGGCATTACAGGTGCATTCCATCATATCTAGCTTAATTTTTAATGTTCCATCAACTTTGCATTTCCTGGAATAAATCCAAGATCATCAGATAGATGTTTTTTGGATGAGATGAATGCTTAAATCTGGATTTTGAGTAAAACAGAGTGGCTTTCCTGATGTGGATGGGCCTTATCTGATCAGCTGAAGGCTTTAATAACTAAAGACTGACCTCCCTGGAGTTATAAGGAATTCTGTGTCCTATAGAATTGAAATGAATACTGACTCTTCTCTAGGTTCCCAACCTGATTGCCTATGAACTTGAAATGCAATAGCAGTCTTTCCCTGGATCTCTAGCCTGCTGGCCCCTGCAGATTTTGGACTTGGCAGCCTCCATAATTGCTTGAGTCAGTTTCTTAAAAAGTGTGTGTGTGTATCACACACACGCATTTACATCCTACTGGTTCTGTTTCATCTGAGAGTTCTAATACATAATGTTGTCTGTTATGAACTAAATCGTGTCCCCACAAGATTCGTGTGTTGAAGCCCTAAACTCCCAACATGACTGTATTTGAAGGTGGTATTTAGGGAAGGTAATTTTAGACTAAGGGTAGGGCCCTAATCTGAAATGATGGGTGTCCTTATAATAGGAAGAGACACCAGAGAGGTTTTTTTCCTCTTCATGCACACCCAGAGAAACGGCCATCTACAAGCCAGGAAGAGGGGCCTCACCAGAAATCAACTACAGTGGCATCTTGATCTTGGGCTTTTAATCTTTGTAACTGGGAGAAAATAAACTTCTGTTATTTAAGGTACCTAGTCTGTGGCATTTTGCCATGGCAGCCTTAGCAGACTAATACACTTTGTAGATGTATCAAAATGATGCTAGTCTAAAAAAAGAATAAGTGAATATTCCTGTTTATCTATCTTCAATGATAGCATGTGGTTTGTTTTAAGAAAAGCACTAGTAAAACTGGGCCTGGGTTTTTTGTTGTTGTTTGTTTGGGCCTGGAACCCAGGCCCTCATGTATACTGAATTATAGCCCCAGACCTTCTTATTTTTATTTTGAGACAGGATATTGCTAAGTAGTTAAAGCTGGCCTCAAACTTATGATCCTCTTACACTCTTGTGATAAAAACTTCTTTATTGACAGAAGAATTTCAAAAATATTCTGTATGAGCTTGTAAAGAATTTTGTAGCTATTGGGTACTATAAGTAGTAGATTAACCTTGTTAATTATATTGTTAAAATCTTATGTTACTGATTTTTATCTCCCTATAAATTTCTGAGAGTCATACATTACAATTTAACTATTATAGTAGTTTTGTTTCATTTTCCTTTATATTTCAAATTTTGATTTGTATTTTGAGACTTTGCTAATTTTATATACTGCCTTGTGTCCCCGAAGGCCAAAAGAAATTCATATGTTGAAGTCTTCCCCAGTGTGATGGTATCTGGAGATAGGATTTTCTGGGAGATAATCAGGTCATGAGAATGGAGTCTTAGTCCCTGTTTCCTGGCACACAATTCATATAATCCTTGGAATCTCTGAAATGATTGGTTTCTTTTCATATGCTAATGAGTTGACCCATAGCTGGCAGCCCTTAGCTAATCTTTAAATAAATTCTCTTGAACTAAGACATGTACTGAGTTTTTAAAAATTATAATTATTTGTTGGAGTTCTGTTTTGGTCTTTGTAAAATCTGCTTATTTTTAAGTCTCTCATTTATTTTTTGATAGATATAAAACATAATTAATTTATATCACATCTGATTCTTCTGAAAAGTAAAAATTTTGAATATCTGAGTCTACTATCAGTTATTTCTGTTAGTTCTAACTAATGGTACCTCTTCTCTTCTGTTTGGTATTCTTTTTATGATGTTAAGATGCTTTTTAAGGTAAAGAATGAAAGTAGGTTCTTCCAGCATTGATTTGTATTTGTTTCTGTCAATAGCCTGGGAACATTTCCAGCCTGGACTAGTTTATATTCTTACCACCCACCTCCCACTTCAGAGTGTCTAAATTCAGGAAGAATGCAAACCCACATAGCATTTGTAATTAAAGAATTTTTCCCCCTTCTTTTATTTAGAACCAATTGTTCTTATATAGTCTTTTTCTTCTATTATGACTATGCTTTCTACCCAAAAGACATTATTTTGTCTACTTTAGTGCTCTTCATATTAAAAATATTTCTAAATTCTGGCAGTCTGGGGAGCAACTATAAATAGGAAGGTATCATATTTGAGACTTTGATGCTCAGTGGCATTGAGCACTGTGGGGTACAACATATCATGCTCTTCACAAACTCTATGGATTGACAAAATAATTTAATTTTTGGATAATTATAGCAATATTAAATTCTATGGATTTAAAAACCATACAAATCACTGGCAACAAATCCTAGTAGAATATCGAATTTCCTTATTAAGACTTTTGGTAACTGTTAGACATGTACTTCTGGTTCTCTAACTTATAAGCAAATGATTGAACTGCATTTTCTGACACTCTTTGTAATTGAGTAGGATCTTGAAACTTGTTCTGGCCAGTTAATTAAGTAGGCAGTGATGTGTGTCACATAGGCAGATCATTTCAAGTGTGAGACCCTCCAGCTCTTTTTTTCCTCTGGCTTGACAACTGACAGCACTGAAATTAGTGATTACTCCATAATTTGAGTCCTTAAGTGAATATGATTAGCAAAACCATGTGTACTAGCTCATAATAATTACATATTAAATATGAGGAATAGTCTTTTAACATTTTGAGTCACTAACTATTAAGGTTGTGTCTTAGTCTTTCTTTTTTTCTGTTGCTAAAACTGAATACCACAGACTGGGAAATCTACAAGCACTGGTATTTTGCTCAGTAACTGATGAGGGCCTTTGATCTGGGTCTTGTCATGGCAGAGGGCATCACATGAGGAGACAGAGCCAGCAAGCCAGAGAGCACTTATTTTATAACAAAGCCACTCTAGTGATTACTCATTCATTCATGCTGGTAGAACCCTCATTACTTGGGGAATTAAGTTTCCAATGCATAAAATTTGGAGCTCACTAAATTCAAATCATAGTACGCTGATAGTTACTACAGCCAAACCTAGACTATCATAACTGGTGGTACAAAGAGTAATTCATTATCCAATTAAAAGTTTAAAACTCTATCCGAAGCCAGCACTAGAGCAGTTAATCAGCTAGTTTTCCCCTTAGCATACTGACTGACAAATGTTTAGAAGACTAGAATAAGAATAGATCATTCACTATTCCAGACATTTACACATTTAAAGTCAAGGGTAAATCAAATCCCAATGTCTGTTCTCATTATCTAATACTGTATAACATACCACCCTAACTTTTTTTTTTTTGTACTGAGAATTGAACCCAGGGGTGTTCATCCACTGAGCCACATCTCCAGCACTTTTTCATATTTTATTTAGAGACAGGGTCTCACTGAGTTGCTAAGTGCCTCGCTAAGTTGCTGAGGTTGGCTTTGAACTTGTGATCCTCCTGCCTCAGCCTCCCTCAGTCTCCTGAGCCACTTGGGATTACAGGCATTACACTGCACCTGGCCCACCCTAAATTTAGTGGAATAAAAAAAATTATTGCTCATGGTTCTGTGGATTGATAGCTGAGCATTTTTAGCTTGGAGTCTCTGTGATTATAAGCAATCAGCAGCTAAGTCAGGAGTCAACCAAAGGTTCAAATGAACTAGACGTCTGAGATGGCTCATTTAAATGGCTGACAGTTGTCACTGGCTGTGGGGCTGGTTCTTTGTGCTGTTTAGATTTCTTACAAGGATGGATTTTATATGGGAGCATCCTGTGTATGGGTGGCAAGAAGTGGAAGCTTTTAGGCCACTTCAAAACTGAAATGAACAGAATTCTATGGCCCAAGGAATAATAGTGCCTGCCCATATTCAAAGATTTAGAGAAATAAACTACCTCTTGATGGGAGAGTGGCAAGATCACATTGCAGAAGAGTATGTGGGAATGAAAGCTATTGTATGGCTATATTTGGGAAACACAACCTGATCCAATGGGCTTGTATGTAACTTTTTGTATCTGAAGTAGTCAGATGTTAAAATTATGAGAGACAAAACCTACTGGATTGCCTTCATGATGTATTTTGAAAAAAATACATGATACCACATATTTAAAAAAGAACTCCCTCCAAATCTTAATTACTCCTTGACATAAAACAATTGAGAGAGAAATCAATATTTTATGAAATACTATTTTACCTACATATTTTTTTTAGAATATAAACTTCTTAAGCCAACTTGCACCTCTTTTATGATTATTCTCAGCTCTTTTTCACAAGTATGAACAGCATACAGTATGCATTTAATAAATATTAATGATGAGTTATGATATTGGATAACTCCTAAATTTAATAAATTTCACATTTTCACACAATTTCAAAAAACACTGAAGATTAAAACTGATGAATGAAAGTAATCTTCAGTGTACAGCATTCTCCATGAAAGTAATTTTTCCTTTTGTCTCTTATGAGTTACCAGTCTTCCCAAATTAATTGCCTGCTTATTTGTCTCTCTCTACATAGATTTAAATCTCCTATGAAGTTAGGGAACAAGTCTTCCTTATTCAGTATGGGATTAATTATGTGAAGCACAGTGCCTACAGTACAGTAGGCTCTAAATTCTACATATTAACCACATGTCTTAAACTTTTATTTCCAGTATTGCATAAATTGTTTTTTTCTTTCATATTCAAGACTTAACTTAAAACAGACTTCACTTAAATATTTAGGAGAAGGTAGACCCACCCTCACTATAGTCATCATGCCCAAAACACCTAAATATTTAGGTGATGTCTTACCTTAGTAAGTTTAAACCTTAGTTGTTTAAGAAAGTCCAAATTATGATGGTAGAAAAAAATTGAGACTACTTAGTAATAAGATGCTTTAAAAATTACTTTTAAATTAATTACAGAAGCTGCATTAGAGGAATAATTCTAAACATTAAACCTCCCAGAGTGAAAGCATATTAATTATTTAGTGGAATCACTACTTTATGTGCTACTTTTATTTTCAAGAGCATGTTTCTATTTTGGTTACCTGCAAAGGAAGTAGAGGGCTGCAATGGTAAGTGTTACTAGAAGAACAGTCAATGCCAGGAAAGCTGCAAACAGGTTGCTTTTGCTTTGGATGCTTGAACTTGGAAGAAAAACTTCTTCACAACGAGCTCCTGTGTAATTTTCAACGCACCTATAGGGATAAAATATCAGATAAAGAATGCATCTCTGCTCCATTAGCTAATCTGGACAGCAAAAGGTAGCTTGTATGAAGGAAGGAGACTAATCTTCAGATTATAACTGTGGAAGAGACATGCCCTATGATGCTCAAGGGATACAGTTATAATGAAACAAATTAGATTTCTTACAAGATAGGGGCAGATTCTATAAGGGTGGTAAGAAGCGGAAGGGCTTCTAGACCAATGTTTGCTGTCTTCTTTTTCCATTTTTCTAATGGCTAAGAAACTACAAAGAAATTATATTCAGACTTCTATTTAATTTTTTTTTAGTTGTTGATTAACCTTTATTTATTTATATATGGTGCTGAGAATCAAACCCAGTGCTTCACACATGCTAGGCAAGTGCTCTACCACTGAGCCATAATTCCAGCCCCTAGATTTTCTTTTGAGATAGGGTCTCAAACTTCCAGGCTCACGTGATCCTCCTGTCTCAGCCTCCCAAGAAGCTGCGAGTCGTGATGCCAGCAACATGACACCTGACTTATCCTCTAGATTTTCAATGATGTGATTGTTCGTACATAACTCAAATTCATCTAAAATTAATTTTGTTGCATTTGGGTACAGGTTTAGCTCTAAATACATTTTTTCCTCAAAATTACTAACTTGTTATTTCAACCTCATTATTAAATATTCAATATCTTACCCACTGTTTAACAATGCCTACTTGAACACGTCAAATTTGTGTAAATAACAGTATTTCTATTCTTCAATTATCTGTACATCTAATCTTGACTTCTACCACATTGCTTCAATATTGTGACTTTATAGTGTAGCTCTACTCCCTATATTACTAGTTGTCTTTGTTAGAATACTTTTTAATATTCTCATGAGCCAACTATAATATTTTAAAGCAAATTACCCTTAGCTCTCTAGGCCTATGACAAGACTGGAGGTGTAGCTCAGTAGTGGAGCACTTGCTTGGCATGTGCAAGGCCCTGGGTTTGATCTCCAGCATCACAAAAACAAAAGAAATAATACTATATGACAAAGAATGATAATCTTTGGTATTAACAAGTTCCTTTCTCCCTGTTAATGTGTTCAAAGGATTATAAAACACAAAGATTGATATAAATTAACAAGAATGACATAACATTAGATTAATTTTATTATTTTGCAGTTGCATTTAAGATATAGTATCTTAATATATTTATAAAGCAACCCAAGAAGTCATGGAGTAAATCTGCAGTAAACTAAATTTAGCACTAATTCTGTGTTTAAATAAAAAAGGGTGATATATTTTAAGCTGGTTTTACCAAAAACAGAAAGTATTAAATTAATTCTCCTTACCTCTTTCCAACTTAGGTAGATATTTAGAAATTTACTGTCATTTCTCTAGACTAATAAAGACACAGGTCTTGAAAGTTACACACAAACTAATCAGTAGCTTTGACAACTAATGTGATAGACTAATAAAGTAGTCTACATATAAATAAAAGGAAAGGATGTTGAGGTATAGCACACAGGATCGACTTTAGCCAGCTGAGCAGAGGAAAGGTTCCACATGAGCCTCCGGCCGGGCCCGTGTGAGGCAGCAGTGTTACTGTGGGAGCTCCCACTGCCGGAGTTGGGTTAGGTAAAGCAGCATCCATATTCTCTCAAACTACTATGAAGATCAGGTTGAGGAGGTAAACAAGGAAAAGTAAGGATGAGACCTGGGGGGCAGACTGAAATGCCAAGTGGAAATATTCTGGGGTAAAATCACAAATACTTAAAGTCTATATATGCTAATTTTTCCACAGGTAAGGTCAGTTAAACAAGCACTAGGAGAAAAAAGATAAAGTGAAAAAATGTCTTTCTCCTCTAACTCCACCTCCCATTTCCCCAAAGGGGAACTAACACACACACACACACACACACACACACACACACACACACACTGTCACAGATAAGCAGAGGAAAGTGTCTCCTGAGTAACCAAAACATAAAATAAAAACTCTTCCACAATTTAATTATTTTTGTTTTTAAACAGAATTCAGTAGTCTGGGCATGGTAGTATAATCCCAGTGATACAGGAGGCTGAGGAGGGAGAATTTCAAGTTTGAGACCAGCCTTAGCAACAGTGAGACCCTGTCTCAAAATAAGAAATAAAAAGGTATGGGGATGTATATCAGTGGTAGCGTGCTCTGGGCTCAACTCCTAGTACCACAAGAACAAAACAAAGAATTGAGCAAGTACCAATTATTCATGCCTTCTAAATTTTTTTTTTCTTTTAAGTTTTAACCACTGAAAGAAAATCCTGTCATAATTTTAAAAAAAGTTCTCAATTTTTGAAATAATGTTTTAAATGGCATTCAATTTATATTCTAGAAAAATTAACTGAAGCTTTAAATAAATAAATCCTGAAATGAAGCAGTATAATTTCTTTTGATAAGAAATATTTATTTAAAAAAAACTATAAACTTATTACTTGGATTTCTTAAGGCTGTTCAAATTCAGATAAGATTAGACTTTAAGGGGGAAAAAAAAAAGACAAACTAGCTGATGTAACTAACATAAATCTTTCATCTGGACCATGCTCTGAGTTGGAAGGAGTCAGGAGAATGGTGTACACATAAGCCTAGAGGTCAGATCAGGGTGTAAGCAAATAGGAAAAGGCATAGGAGGGAAACCAGTCAACAAGATGGGTTTCTCTGTCTCACTGCAGGGGCAAAGCAAACACATGCACTTGCAGGAAAAGAAATCCTGAAGGTTAACTTAAATTCAAGAAAAAAGTTTTGTTATTGTTTAATGAGTCATCAGAATTTAGAGAAAGGCAAAGTCACATTTTAATATTATACTCTTATCTAAGAAGTAGAATTGGCTAACCTAAAAATGAATTTTACAATTTTAGGTATTTATTATATAAAAAAGTAAATACTGCCTACCAATGATTGTGCACAAGGAGTCTACTTTTAAACTTCTAGCTCTTTTATGAAAATGTTATGACCCAGTTACAATACAAATGTAGAATTTCAAACAACTCTTTTATAGGTAAACAGGTTTAATGAAGTACAGACAGAGAACTTCTTGTACCAGCCGAGAAAAACGCAGAAAGGTTGAGTTTTGTACCCGCATTTACGCGAAGCTAAGTAGCTTTTGTCTTTATGTGAATAACTCTCTTGTTAAATTACTTATATGCCTCATTACTGCATAGATTTCCAAGTAGTAAAGAGTTGTGCTACCTAATGAGGTACATACCAAGGACTAAGGGATCATGCCCATTTCCTGGCACCTAAGATTAATGCTGGAATGTATACAAATGCTCAGTAGGATGAGCAGCTCCAAAACAGAATTCAGCTTATACCACCAACAATCTGACCCTAAATATTGTAGCTATGTTGAGTATACTGCAAAGTATTTCAGATTCTTCTGTGTTCAAGGTACGTTGTTAACACATTAGAGACATTTAGCATGAGTAAAAAGAACCAGGTTTTGAATCATGTGAACAGAATGCCATTTAGTTTCAAGAACAAAAACTGGACTGTAAGCTGGAAACTAGTTTCCTGACCCCACTATGGTGCTTGTTGGATATATGATCTTGGGCTACTTAAAAGTCAAAATCAAAGGAGCAATACCTGCCTTAACTATTTCATAGGGCTATTGTCAGAATCAAATAAGACAATGTCAAAAATTGTTGTGAATACTGAATCATACAAGTGAAACTGAAATGAAAGTAGTCACTTTGCAAAGGCCGTGTTTACTTCATGTTAATCTGTAGGGAATAAAATGCCTAAGAAAAATTACAGCTAGAAAAGGGTAAGAGCATCGTGATCAATAAATGTTCTGTTAGTAGTATTAAGTATTTCTCAGAAACAAGAAACAGAATTATAAAATAATAATAAAAGAATTCACAAGCCAAAGAAAGATTCAATGTCAGTGCCACCTCACTTCCAGCTATCCTAGAAAGAAAAATTCAAATACTGGCATATGCAAAAGGTAACTTCTAGCTAACCAATACTCTGTGTGGCAATCAAAGTTCAATCTGTAACATGTGAAAAATGAAAAACCAAAACAAAAAGAAAAAGAAAACTACCAGAAGTGTTTAAGAAAATAAACTGGCAACATGGGCTTGGATCCCTTTAATAGTTCATTCAAGGCCATATGATAACATATATAGCCAAAATCCTATGAAACTCCTACCAGATTTGACATGCCAAAAACTCAGGGAAGACTGGATCACAACCTTTGCCTCTTTTATTAACTAGTTCCTAAATGTAACCTTATTAAGCATTTATTATATTCTTAATAATGTCTATAGATAACTTGACTAATATTCAATCTTGCAAAAATTTTGTTGTATCTCTAGATAATTATGAGTCTAATATAAGCCTGATTAAGAAGCAAAATCCTAGACTCCTTCAAGATTGACTATTACCCAGCTAATTCATATGCTGAAATAGATTATAGATTATATCTGAATATAAATTATAAAATAGACTGCATAGAGATTAATCCATATTTGTCATTAGTCAGGGTATTATTTATAGTTTTAATGTGAAGGACTGTAAGTTTTTAGATTAAGTAAATTACTGTGAAAATGTGAAGTATTTTATTTACTGAAACTAGCTAAAGAACAGGAAGTAAAGGAAACATGTCAAGAAAATGATGAGAGTCAACTACAGCAGGATAAAAATATGATTTTCATTATGGAGTTTGCATTGGCCAGTCTTCTCCAATGAATACTTTCTTAGAGAAACACCCTGGAATACTACTGGCTGGGTTAACCAGAGCAATGAGATAAAATTTTGTGATTTGTTAGTTTCTTAATGTGGTCTTGTTTCTCTATATTAACAAAACAATTAATCAAGTCTCTGTTCTTCCTATTTTGTCTACCTCAAAAAAATGATCAGGGAGAAAAACCTAAAACTATTCTTTAAAAAATTTTATTTAAAAAATGATAAGAAAAAATTAAAACTATCAAATCACATATATATGTTTTTAAATAACCTATTATGATTCTTGGTAAAAATATACA